GCAAAATTCCATTAAATCTAACTTCCAAAAACTATGTTTTTTTTAAACAGTTGCAGGAACACCAAATATGCTTTTGTAAACAACTATCTCACATTCATCAAACCTATCTTTTAATTCATTTATTAAATGAAATAGAAGGGGAGATGTGATAGAATAATCAAATAATCTGAAACTGTGTCAGAGGGATAATTATCTCCATAACTTTGTCTGCTACAGAGCCTTGGTTTAACTTCTGAAACATCAAGAATCTTAGCTAGATCAAGAGCATTTAAGTAACATTCGTAATGGTAGACGTCAATATTTTTTTTAAATCTAAAATTTGGGTTTTTAAACGGTTTATTTCATTACACTGTTGTGATATATAAAACGCCTTAGTTTGGAGAACAACTGTGATGGCATAGAAACAGTCCATTATTTGTTTTGTTAAAACTAAACTTACAATAAAAAAAAATTTGTCACAAAATTTAAAAAATATAAAGAAGTATAGGTATTTTTGAAGAAGTATAAATACTTTTGAAGAAGTATAAATATTATAACTCTTACCTTCATTGTATGCCATTTCTTCCATTGAATGAAAAACGGATATGTATTTATCAAAAAGAAGATTCAGACAATTTACTTTTTAGACAACTTTACAAAGTTACCTATACCAATTTTATTATATGATTGCATACCTATACCAATGTCTTTACATGTTTACATACCTATACCAAAGTCTTTACATGTTTCTACGATCTCTGGAAGATACTTACTGTCGTCACAATGACCTTAAAAAACATTATCGTTTTTCAAGGTCATTGTAAAATAAAAATTGTCTTAGTGAAAAAAATAATTGTCTTCATAAATGGAATTAATTTATTTCCATTACTTATAACAAATCTAGATTGAGGCATGTTAGGACAATGCATTGACATTTAATGAAGTCGACAACTACTATTATGATCCATATAAGCACGAGTTGCATTACCCCATATTGTAAAGGTTTTCGAATAAAGTTGGTTATTGAGGTATTGTTTGGAATACTGCTATTGAACAATGTAGATGGAAGACAATATGCTCCATCTACAACCTGTGAGTAAGCTAACCAGGAACATTTAAGTTAAAATAATAGATTCTTTTTTTCGCCAGGAACAGAAAAAAATAAAAGACAAGTTAGAAATAAATATTTTATTAACTAGATCTATTAACATTAAATCATCTTTGCCAGCAGATAGATGTCTACCGATCTCATAATAAGTAAAAACATCAAAAAAAAAAGAAGGATTGGAGACTGATCTGATGTACAAGGAATACAATTAAGTAAGATTGGTTTAGGAGCTATGTCAATATTTACATATTTTATTATATTATTATTTACATATTTACTATACTTTTAGATTCATTATCTATGCAAAACTTTATGTGAGATTAAACTAATGATTTTATAATAGAAAATAGTTTTTTAAGAGATTAAGAGAGATTATAAACCTTAGTGTTAACAGAAGAATTCGATAAAACATTTCGCTAAACTGAACACGATTCTCTTTTTATATCACTTTTGATAAATTTCTTAAACTTTTTGATAAATTTCGTTAAACTTTTCTTTTCACAATAGGGACAAAATCATTTGGTGACCGCATATCTTTCCTTGTTAATAGAGCAACAACCAGTGTTACACCATAAAATACTCAGAATTTATTTATTTGTTTTATGATCATCACGTTGGTATATTAACATTAAATAACTTTTTACGTTTTTTAAGTCCAAATTCAGGATAAATAGACCGAATTTGTTTATTTAACACAGTAGAAAATGTAATTAAACAAAGAAAAGAAGCAAGTTTATTGTTTCTGAAATTGTTATAAGCTTCATTTTTTATAATACCAGAAATATCATTTAATTCTGTAAAAGAGTTAGAAGACTCGAATGAAACACATGCCATAAAAACAATAGAGAGTGAAGAATATGAAACACATGCCATGAAAATACATGAGAGTGAAGAAAACTTTTAGATTTTTGCTTGGTTTAAGATTATTGGGTATCTTAAATAAAAGATTGCTTTTTCAAACAACTCAACATTAATTAATAGTCAAAGAGTTTCATGTATTTTATCTGATGAATTTATTAATAAAGCAGCAGAGTTGAAGAGACAGGTTTCCATTGACCTGTAAATTCAAAACATATATAAACTAAATATAACTAAAAAAACACATATAACTAATGATTATTTGTCAAAAATTATTGTTTTATAAACAAAATAAAACATAAAAAAACTTGTTTAAACTCATACTTTAAAACAGTATAGTCATAACTTTCTTTTTGCATGGGAATAAAAGCTTTTATTTCAGAACTTTTTAAAAAAGGAAGATTTTTGTTTGCAACAGGAAAATTTGAATTTAATTTTTTGAGATTATTAAAAAGCTTTGCCTTGTAAGTCGTAACATTAAGCAAATCCTTGACTTTCATGGCTTTGGATAGCAACAAATCCATAATTACAAACAAACAAAAATTTTATTTAAAATTATTTTAAGCTAATTTTGATAAATTTCGTTTTGAAACATGATGGAGGATAGTTAAGTCTTTAAAATATTGTTATAGCCATGTATGTTTTTCTATTAGGCAATACTTTCTTTTTTTAAAGAATTTATATATACATATAAGTATACTATACATTTAAGTTGAGTATTTTTTATGTTATGATACGGAAATTTTTATAATGTCTTAGAATATTATGGGTGAATCCTAGGCAACACAGGATACCTCCTAGATCCACCTCTGGCGTGAGTTAATTTGAGAGTTTTAAACTCACACTATAATTTACAGAAGATAAAGGTAGAGTTGGGAATTTATGCTAATGTCTGTACAATATGGCAACATTTAAAAAATTTAATTATACATATTTAAATTTGAAGACCAATTGGTAAAAGATAAAATAGGAGGTAAAGGATAGAAAAACATATGTTTCATGGTGTTAAAATTTGACATTTCAACAACGTTACAATAGTATCAAAATAATAAGGATCATGTTTTAAACATTATTCAGATAACTAAAGAATTTAACTCGAGAGGCATAAATAAAGTAAATGAAAAAATTATTGTTGATCATTTAAAGAATATAAGGCTTTTCTATAAATAACTTAATATTCTGTTACAAGTAATGTTTTTCCTAATAAAGTTTTGAAAAATCCTCTAAATGTTTTAAAATACTGCTTAAAGGAGTAACTTCTTTTAATTATTCAAAGTAAGGTCAGGTGCATGACCATTACAATTACCCTGCTACTGGTTTTATGTAATCCATTATAACCTACTCATGGTTCTGTTTCATGTAGGTTTTGCTTTTTTAGGCAAAGGTTAGGCGAAACAAACTTTGAATTAAAGTTTTCCTGCCTCGAGGCTCTTGGTTGAGTAAAAACTAGAAGTGATGTCTTGATAAATACTTAACTTGGGCAAATGTTAACTGCTTCCAGCTACTGTTTTGTAGAAAAACTCCTTGATAAAGTCTTTATGGGAAAGAAGAACAATGACGTCGACCAGCCTTACTCTACTTCATCTATTAGGCTCGCATAGATTTAAACCTGTGTTACATTTTTTCCTGGTTAGGATGATGAAGGCTGATTTTTTTGACTCTACTCATATATTTTTGCTTTTGCCTCTTTGATTGTGGCTATGCAACTCTTTAATTATTCTCCTAATGAGGGTACAGCTCTAAAACTCAGTTTAATGTTTTTAAGACTAGCTGGTGGTATGGTTTTCTGAACTCTGTTGCAGCTCTCATTGAGAGTAATTCCATCAATAGCTGTAAAATATCGAAGTATAAATAGTGCAATGTTGCGCATTTGTTATGTTTCTATTAGTAATTTTAGTGTGCATTTTCATGCCCAAACAAAGAGCAATAAATTTACGTTAATTATCAGGACTCAGACAATTGCAAGGCTTATTTTCTAGGATTATGCTTTATCTATGATTAAGCCAAGTTCTCTTCAACTTAAACCATACCTAATAACATTAAAACTGTTATACATAAAAAATCATCACTGCCACCTAACTATTTCTATATGTTTTTTAAAAATATTTGTGGTCTTTAAAAAACTTTCAAAAATTTATATCTTACCTCTTGCAAATTTTCACTAGACTTGCTTATTCTATTTGACAAAAATTTAAATTTCGTTCTTTCTATAGATCTTGATATTATTAACTATTATCCTTTGATTCACAAAGACTCATATAGTCACATGTTTGGCTTGGGCATATACTTAAGCATAAGCTTATCTGTTTGCCAAGAAATCAGATTTAAATCCTCTGATCATTTCTTTATGTGTTTCCGTTTAGTATTTTTTCACTTTATCACCTTTCGCTATGTTCTTTATTGGTTTCCATATTCCCAAGACTGCACTCTTTTAGATATAACTTCTGATTAATTGATCATGTCTTTTCTCTTTACCCCTGTCCTCTATTGTTGTTTTTAGTGATTTTAATGCAACCTTAATGCAAACTCAGAATGCTGAAAATATAAAAGGGGTCATCAAAGTAACTTCAAAAGTTTAAAAAGTTGCAAAAGGAACCATTGTAGGGTAGTATATCAAGTTTTTTAAAATTTATTAGGAAAGGAAAAAATTGGTTGTTAAAAAATGAAAAAATTATTATTATCCAACAAAGATTATTATTAGTTGATGAAAAAAAAAATTTATTTCAAAATGTTTGTTAGGTTTTTATTAAATAGTATCAATAGTATCAATTCTAATACAAGTAATCAATTTGAAGTTGAGTAACCTGATGAAGAATTCATTATCTTTTTTAATCTTAAGTAGTTTTAAATTTTAGCCTTAATCACATTATAAGAGCCTCAACCAACCCAAAGCATTTGCTATAAAAAGATAATAAGAAAACCAATCAAGTTTTGAAAAAATTTCAAAATATTAAATAATATAAATGAAAATAAGATAAAGTATAATAAATTCTTTTCTTAATTATTTAATTCGAATAAAAAAGTATTTAATAGCACTTATTAATGATTTTTTTAGGATTTTTAGTTTTTCCTGTTGAGAAATACCCAAACATTTTTAAAAAAGGTAATATAATTTGTTTTAATAATTGTTTTCCTAACTACTTTAATTATGGTACTACGCATATTTGCGTTTAAGTTGGTTAATTTTCTAGTTAATTTGGTTTTTTGTCATTTTAATTTGTCAATTTTTGCTTTACAAATTATAGTGAGATATGCCAAACTAAAACTAGCAAATGCGAAGGTAAAGTGAAAACTGAATAACTCAACCTACTACTAATATTTTCACTTTAATTTGTTAAGTGTAATTTTGCCAAATTAACACTAAAAATTGCCTAATTAAAACAAAATTGGTCAACTTAAACACAAAAATTTGTACTAAATAAAATTTTGAGTTTATAATTGCATTTGTTACAAAACCAAATCTATAAATCTATCATTTGTCAAATAATTCTACAATTAGGCCATGACAGAAATGGTAGGTGATTAACCACTTTTCCTATTCACGCGGGAATAGTGGGCGATATAATATTTTATTTTGGTATTTTGACCACGTGTTTTTAGATCTTTCAAAAGTGCAAAAAAGAAGCTAACCTATTACAAAACATTTACAAAAAAAAAATGACAATGGAGGAAACCAATAAAATTTTACAAAAAAGTACTATATAAAAATAAAGAAGGAAATCTTAACACAAGCAAAACAAAACTTGAAAAATTAAAGTAAAACAAAACAAAGCTCAAAAAATTATAACTGTACAAGTAATTTACAATAAACCACGTTTACAACTACGTTTGGAAATAAAAAATCTTTTTTATTGTTTTTTTAAAACTAAGCAATCTTTTAAATGAAGGAACAAAACATACTTTTAACAATTGTTTAGCGATAAGTTAGTTTTATTTTGTCAATTTTCACACATTTTACAATGTTATCTTTAAGATCTAATAAGTATATATAAATACAATTCGAATGGGGCAAGTAGAAAACAAAATGTCTTACCACCAAGCCCCTTCGTTAAATAGAAAAAAATGTAGTTAGTTAGTTAGTTAGTAGTTAAACTTTAACTGGACGAATTCAGCGAGTGTGGTTTATCACACTTTGACAGCATTAATCCAAATATATATTAAAAATGTTTAGTTAAAACTTCTTTGATTTGGCGTTATACTCATCTAATCTATTCTTAAATTGATTGACAGTTTTTGAAGTAACAACAGTTTCCGGTAAGCATATTTTGAAACCCTATACAGGCTCAGAATAGGCAGAAATATGAACAATCTGATTCGCTGATTTTGAAAGAGAGGCAAGTGCGCTTTATTTAAAAATAAATTTAAAATCTAAACAGATTTTGAAATAAATTTCATAGTAATGATAAACTAAGTTTATCAATACAAGTTTTGTTACTATCAACATAGAAATTTTATTTTATTATTCTTTAGAATATTTAAAAGGTATCAAAATCTATTTGTAACAGAGAATTTTCACTCGTAAAAATCTCAAAGTTTCAATAAAGTTCATCTTAGTGATGGAGGTTTTATCTGTTGTTAATTTAAAGAAATAGAAAAAAGTGTAATTCGAAAAGATCTTGTGCTGATTCTTATAATAATTATTATCCTTGTTGAGTTTAGTTATGTGTATACTAAAACTAACCTGTTTGTATACTATAGTTTACATATTATTATATGAAGTATAAAGTCTTCTATGTTGGCTTAGAATTAATTATAGACTATTTAATTTACTACACTACAGATCTATAAATTTATTTTTCGCAAAATATGTTTTTGGCCTTAAAGCATTCTCAAATACAAAGTTTATATACAGTTGTACAAGACTACTTGTGAAGTACTTTTGCATATGAAGATTATATGCAGTTATATACGTTAATTATAAAGAGTTGAACATTAGAGTTTTGAAATAAAGAAAATTTGTACTGATTGCAAAACTAGCTTACATGTTCCATGTCAATATATGAGTTTTGAGGAGATTTTGTTTTCATATTTTGTTTCAACTATTGTTTGGAGGAGACTGATTTACTTTTTATTGCATAACTCTAATCAAACATCATCTTAAACCATTAAACACTCTTTAAAAATTTAGAAAAATTTTGGCAGGCAATATTAACTGTATGTATAAAATATTATTTGAAAGTTTAACAACATAAGTGAAATTTATATGTGTGTCTGCTGAACAGTAATTTTTGTGAAGTTACATATAAACAATAAAATTAAAAGCAAGAAAAAGTATTGAAGTCAAAAATTTTTTTTTTTTTTAAACATCTTCGGTTCCAACAAGGCTGCAAGCAACCACTAATTAGTGTTGGAAGTTACTGGAAGAGAAAAAATTAAGATTGTAGAGCAAGATAACGATTGACAGACGACTTAAAAGATTGCAAATTATATGAATCAGGAAAGCAAGATGAAGGAAGCGAATTTTAAAGAACTGATGTTTGAGGAAAAAAACTAGACGAATAAGAGTTTTTGGAGCACTTAGGAACAGTAACAGTAAAATATGTTAACCAAATAAAAAAAACAGTAACAGTAATATATGTTAACCAAATAAAAAAAAGAACAAAATCAATTGTCATGCTATGATTATTTTTGTTATAATAAAATATGTTTTGTATGTATAAACTCTTGAAATATTTAACTTGAATTTGCATGTGTGCAATTTTGCAAGATTTCTAAGTGTGTTTTTCGTCAAATGTAACGTCTATGTTCTATAAAACATGGTCAATATAAAGTTTATATACAGTTGCACCAGACTATTGGAAGCGTACTTAAAGTATGCAAAGTATAAATTTTCAGCTGTGGCAGAGGTTGTTCTATGCTCGTTACTGCATCTTTACACTGTCTTGTTAATTATAAATAGTTAAACATTTAGATTAAAAAAAAAAAAATTACAGATATTTTACCAAACTAGCTTACATGTTCCATGTAAATCTACGAACTCTGAAGAAGTTACTGTTTAACCTAAATATTGAGAAAGGCTGATAGGACGTACATCAATATTTTTCTTTACTTAACTTTAATAAAACATTATCCTTAAACCTTCAAACACTTTGTGAAAAATTAAAAAAAGTTTGTCAGGGTGTTTTAACTTATATATATAAATAGGATGAAATTTGTATATTAATAATCTATTGGAAAATTTAACAAAAAAAAGTGATATTTATTTGTTTTTCTACTAAACAGTTCTTTTGTTCAGTTACATTTAAGCGTTGATAATACAAGCTAACAAAGAGAATTGAAGTTGAACAATTTAATCAAATTAAGTTGAATTATGGCAATTATGGTAATAAAAAGAACTTGATCAAAACAAGCTTTTACATTTGAAGAAGCAAGTTTTTAGAAAAAAAAAAAAAAAAACTATTAATAAAGTTTTGAAACATGAAAGATAAATATTTCTGCATAGAAAAATATAAAAAAAGTGTTTTTTTTTTCTTTTTTTTACAGAAGATGTTTTTTTTTGTTCAGGAGTATGTAATGTAAAATAATTAATAGCTTAATAAATAAAAAAATTATAAATGATAAATTATACTGACTTATTTTTAAATATATTTGATATATCATTAATAAAAATAACAAATAATACGGGCCCTATTACGGATCCTTGCGGAACACCACACCACAAGACTTTGCGCCATGAAGAAACATCACCTTGGATAACTCTTTGGATTCTGTTTTTTAAAAAAGCTTCAATCCATTTTAATAGTAAACCACTAATTCCATATGAAGATACAGGGTGGCCCAGAAGTCACTTTACATTTTAAAAATTAAATAACTTTTTCTTAAATGACTGTATTTAATTAATTCTTTTCTATTACAAAGCTTAGAGTGTGTAAGTTAGTCTGACTTAGTCACGAAAGATAATGTCTCTTAAATAGCCTCCATTCTCGTCTTCACAAAGTCGAGCTCTTTCTAAGCTATTCTCCATGACACTTCTTAACATCTGAGGTTGTAGGGAAAGAATTTCCTGTCGTATGTTTGCCTTAATTTCTTGAATAGTTCGGGGCTTATTTGCATACACTTTGTCTTTAAGATATCCACAAAGCCAAAAGTCCGGAGCTGTCAAATCAGGAGAACGTGGAGGCCATTCAAAATCGGAATTAAGAGAGATTATCCGATCCTGAAACATTGCAGTTAACAACTGCATTGTGGCTCTAGCAGTATGTGCAGTTGCTCCATCTTGTTGCCACCAATACCCTGCCATGTTTACTAACTGAGGTTGAACAAAATTCACTAGCATGTCTCGATATTTCTCAGCTGTTACAGTCACAGCATTTTCATTTTCATCTTCAAAGAAGAAGGGCCCAATAACCCTTTCTGATGTTACTCCACACCATGTTGTGACTTTAACCGGGTGCAATGGACTCGCATGAACTTGGCGTGGATTTTCGGAGCTCCAGAATCTGGTATTTTGCTTATTCACATGTCCATTCAAATGGAAATGAGCTTCATCTCCCATGATCAACTTGTGAATAAACTCATTGTCATTTCTTGCAGTTCTCTGAAACCTGACAGCATAATTTAGTCGTTTCTGAAAGTCTGCTGGTTTTAAAGATTGCACTAATTGAACCTTGTAAGGGTACATGTGCAAGTCTCTTTGAATGCGCTGCAGAGAACTCCGTGAGATGCCAAGTTCTTGAGAACGCCTTCGAGTGGATGTGGTTGGGTTCTCTTCAATGCTACGGCTCACAGCTTCAGTATTTTCACGTGTACGTACTGAACGACCTCGTCCACTTCTAGTCCTATCACTTACAGAGCCATGCTCTTGAAAACGCGTCACTAAGTTCCTTATTGCAGGCCTACTAGGGGGATGTCGAACATTAAAATGGCCCATATACGATCTTTGCGTTGCAACAATTGACCGTCCATTTTCAAAGTAAAATTCAATTATCTTCACTCGTTGTTCTGTTGTAAACTTATCCATGCCAAAAATTTCAAGGATTATATTTTTTAATTCTGAAAAGAGAAAAAGAAATATATTAATAGAAAAAAAGTTATTTAATTTTCAAAATGTAAAGTGACTTTTGGGCCACCCTGTAGTTTAATTAATAGTCTTTTGTGAGCAAC